ATAAAATAAGCATTATTTGACAACAGTAGATCAACAGTCTCTCATTTAACAGTCTAAAAAAATCTAAATATTGGTTTCTCTTTAAAGCTCTACGCTCGAGATTTTTTTTTTAAAATCATCTAACGTTATAGACGCTTTTGCTTTAAATGTTCTTTTTAATACTTCTGATTTTAATTTTGCGAAAGCAGTTTATCAAATAATCATTATTTTACACTTTTTTAGATGTAAGAAATTCTTGTCGATACTGCCGTTTTCAGCGATGCCTTCAAGTTGGAATGGATCCATTAGGTCAACACTATTACTAAATAATTCATCTTATTGAGTATAACATCTAATGTTTCAGCGAATTGTTCAGGAAAATATAATCTTTGCAAGTCAAAAAATTATCTAATTAAGATTACTTTTTCTTTTTTTTACATATACTGTTAAACCGAACGCACAGCACTTTAACTGCTTTTTAGCTGTACGGCCAGATCGTGATTTTACTGGTCCACATCACGCACCGCAGAGGGTGTCAGTAACAAAGAAACGGCGAACGAGTTCCTCAACAAACAGTGATGGTTCAACTGAATGGATCAAAAGATTACCACTAGAAATTCGAACTACACTATTTACTTTACTGAACATTGAAGCTAAGGTAAAAGTATAACAGAAATTGCTTGTATGCACTTAAAAAATATATATGTGTACTTGAAAAATGGAAGAGCTACATTTATACAATTCTGATAGCCCACTAAATGTAATAGCAGTATGTAGGTTATAAAAGGAGATACCAGACAAAAAGCTTCTGAATTATACCCATTGCCAGAAAGTACGCTACGAGAACTTATTGAGGATCCAGAAAGGCTGAAGGGTCATCGGTCTGAAGTAACGTTTAAAAATTTACCAGTGTTTCTTCCTTAAAAACAAAATTTTACTCTAGAACATCTTTTTAAATTTTCTTATAACTTCTATACAGCACTATGGTTATTCTTCCTTAAAACAAAATTCAAAGACAATGCGATGCCAAAGAATAAAGCCAAATCTTTTTTTGACAATCTGAAGGTTTAAACTAATTTGATTAAAAAATTTAATAGTCATGTTGAAAAACATACATTGTTTCTGGCACATTATTTTGTCAGTTGGGAACCATATAGTAAATGTTCAATGTAGTATGAACAATGTAGCTACATGGTTATTTTCTTTACCAAAAATTTGTCTTGAAATTTGGATATCAAAAATTTCTTTTTGGTTTTGGCAAAAAAATTTGCTATTCAAAAAACACTAACACGTTAAGATGCGTTATGAACCATATACTATGGCAAAAAGTGAAGAATTGTTACTTATCGCCTACAGACGATTGATAGCTGCAGTAGACTGGGTTAATCAAATGGCAGAACTTACTGGTGGATTTTCACTAGACGATAAGGTACTTATAAATGTTGACTTTTTCTGCACTTGAAATATAAACAAAATATGTTCGTAAACTGATGTTTTTTTTGCTTACTTTAGATAGCTCTTATAAAGAATTGTTTTGCACCATTACTTGTATTCAACTGCGCAGTTCGAACCGCAGAAGTAACCGATGATCCAGATGTTTTGTGCCTGTGCAATTTTTCTTTTGTTCCTCGAGATACTGCTAAAGCATACAAGGATTCATAGTAGGCAAATGCAATACTGTTTTTTTAAAAATTTCTCTGTTCTTATTTGTCTAGATTAGTGTGAAAAAGAAAGCATTTTATTGTCTATTTACTCAAAAGACAGAAAAAACTGATCAAAGTTGTTGTAGTATTGCGTTTTAATTCAGTTCTCTAGACCTATATGAAATTTTTGTTTTAAGTCACTTGGAAAATGGTTTGGTCAGTCGAGCGCTGGATGAATTGGTTACACCGTTACGTAATATCAAACTGTTACCAGAAGAAATTGTCTGTTTGAACGCTACAGTAGTGCTGAATCCACGTAAATCATTAATCTGTTTATTTTGCCTATTTGACCAGTCTGAAACATTGATATTTTTTCTTTAAAAACTTAAGCAGGCAAAATAGAATTTTTTTAGATATTCGAGGTTTATCAGCAGAAGGTTCAAAAAAAGTAATTGATTTACGTAATCGAGTTCAAGATACACTTTTTCAAATTATTAAAGAAACGAGAGGAACTAAACACGCTAACGTACACTACGGAAACCTTCTGTTTTTTCTTCCAGTAGTTAAAGTAAGTCTTTTTTTTAAATATTAAACCATTACATTTTTTCTGCAGATCAACTACAAAGCAATTTAGCGTTGAAGCTGGATAAATAAAAACAAAAAGTTTATTTTTTATTTAATCAGCTTTATGACTGAAGCGTAAAATCTTCATAATCTGCAGGAAATTTCTATAGCAATGAGCGAAAATTTGCAATTTGCACAAACATTCAGTTCGTTGGGTCCTGTTCCGTTACTGACGAACACTTATGGTTCATTTCCAGTTGAGGAGTTTCAGTCAGAATTCGATGACGACAACCATGAGGATTTCGGGGAGTACAATTTAGTCGACAAGGCTACCCAAACTCTTGCCAGTTTCAGAAGAATAAAGGTTAATTTTTTAGCATCATATCATTCTTCTCAAAAATTTGAAGTTCAACTCATATTTTCTGTTAACATTCTATCATTTCAGGAAGACGGACTTCGGTCTGTGTTTAAAGCAAAAGAAAATGTTTTATATAAGCTGATGGTTGATCGACAAGAGCAAAATTCGATAGAAACTCCTGACTCGACAAATAGCAATGAAGAAATAAGTGTCAGTAGTAAATCTTTATCTCTTCAAATCGCGCCATAAATCATCTATCTCGACGTGTAATTCACTAAAACTTACAATCGCTGTTTTTTAAAAGATGTTCAACTTTTTATTTGGTGACGTTTACAAAAATGGTGATATTTAGTCTTGTTAAACGCTAATTTTAGTTTACTATCTTGACTAAGAGTACTGTATTTCAGGGGAATTCAGGTGAAGAGAGTGTGATAATGAACAAACCAAAGTTTTATCTTCCTAGCCTTTTGGAGTATGAAGATAGTTCTTCAAAAACTGGTGACAACAGCTATAAATCAAGTTCAAACTCTGACAGTCAAATGATAAAAGATTTGAAAACAACGTTCTCTAGCGAGCGGACATTGCCAATCTGCAGCTCAAGAAGTTTGGAAGATCTGGGAGTTTCTAAAACAGCAAAGGAAAAAAAATTTACTCCAACAACTGGGCAAAATAAACCGAAGTCTCATTCGGAAAACAGTTTTCAGCGGCTACGCTCTGTTTCTTCAATCGCCCGACCTGAATTCTTGACAACCTGTGCTGCCAAAATGTCTAACAGCAGTAAACCTATTTCCTACCAAAAACACTCAAAAGATTTTTTCTTTCGTCTTTCTGAACCATCTTCATTTACATATCTATCGTCTGCAAATTGTCATAGCAGTTCGGTAAGTAATAATTATATTAAATTAAACAGTTTCAAAATTAATAGGTTAACATATTAAATATAACATTCATTGTTTAACTGATTTTTCAAGTTCAAATTCTGCTATGAAATTAACTCTTAAATAAACGTTTTTGGTCATATTCTTATGAACACAAACGTGGCGATATTCTTAAGGTCTTAAAAATTTATAAATCTAAAACTTACAAAGTTACCTACGTTACTTTTTGCACAATTTAAACTGTCAAAGATTATAAAAAAAGAACTAATGTAAGATTTGTAAGGGAGTGATGCCTAACAACTACAAAAAAGAGAGGAGAAAGAGCTGCTATCGCAAAACTTTAGATATCACAGCTTCCCAAATTTTTTTTACAGTTTTCGATATTTCCAAATTGACATCCTTACACTAATAACATTACCCTGACCACATTTTGTTAATCTATCAATTAATTTGTTTGAATTTTTTAAAATTATTACTTAATCATAGACAATACTTTGCTGAAATAATAGTTTTAGTGCACAAGTGATTAGAAAATAATTCTTTCAACAAAAAGTGTCATTCCTAGATGGAAAAAAACTGGCATAGTTATTATAGAAGAACAATTTAGAATTTACTTTATCAATGTCTATTTCTCAACTATTGCATATTACTTTTCTTTTTTTACAAAATCTTTTTCTACAGAACTTTAACTTTTATAATACCAAGTGATCTTAATTTTAGTTTTTAAAGTAGACTGACTAAATTAGACATTGCTTCAGCTTAACAATTCAACTTTATAAAAAAAGTTAACTGTCGATGATGTCATTCAACTTTTTTGTACGACAACATTCGCTAGAAAATTTTCAGTTTTCAAAAACTTTATCTCTTTTTGTCACTCTTTTAAATATTTATAATTTAGGTCAAACATAACAATGGAAACGGCTCTGATCAAACGATGGACATTTCTTCATTGAGCGTACAACAAATTCAACAACCTAAAGAAGTAATTCAATCAGTACCGATAGAGGAACAAGAACAAGAAAAAGTGGTTTTTGGCAGTGAATTGTTGAAACGAAATGATTCTGCCTGTAGCGACAATAGTACAAAATCGTATTCTGTTGTATCTTCAACACCTTCAGACAGCCAAGAATGCGATTCGCAATCTTTGGATTTTTCCAGCGTGATGCCAGATGAAAGTTTTGCTTCTCAACAAAAAATTGGCACTGGTGATCGAGATATTTTTTCTATTTACAGAGATCAGCTAAATGCAAACAATGCGTCAAGAATCTTTAAAGCACAACTTGGTGCTTATCCAGATGGTTTAGAATCATTACTGAAAACACAGGCAACTTATTCAAAAATTTCAAATTTTTCATCCAACTATTTTTCTGCCGAATCATCGCCAAACTATTTTGATGCCCAAAATACTGACGTATATTCAATGAAAGTTGATGCATTATCACATACAAATCAATTTGGCTCATTAAGTATATGATTATAAAAAGTGCTCAAATGCTGTTAAACTGTGATTCAAAAATAATTCAGCAGTTTTTTTTTTTTTACTTTTAATATGTTAATTATCAATTTTATATAGACGTTTAGCGACTTTAGCTGAGGTAAAAAAAATAATTATGTTCTTCTAGTTTTTCTGTTTTTTTTTCTTCTGTGTTGAGCACAATTTTTAGATTGTCACAGCTTGAAAAAAAGCTGTTATTTTGATGTTAATTATATAAGCAATTGTTATCATTTATCGGATAGTCTAAAAGTAGTTAACGTCTGTTTGTTGCAATGTTTATTTTAATTATTTTGTATAGTAATGACACTTGTCTCTCAAACTTGTTTTTTTTTTTTTTTT